TGTGTGTGTGTGTGTGTGTGTGTGTGTGTGTGTGTGTGTGTGTGTGTGTGTGTGTGTGTGTGTGTGTGTGTGTGTATGCAAAGTGTGGATAAAGACCAGAGTCAGTGACGTCTTAGAGCGATCGGGTGAATGTTACGGACAGGAAGTGCCAACAAAACAACAACCTGTCAAAATAAGACAGTTTAAGCTGTGAGAGATGTTAAAGGATGAATCCTGATTGTTTTGTGTTGAGCTGTCACATATATAACTTCAAGCTGACTTTGTTTCAGAAAGTAATGATTACATGCAGCTCTATCAACCTTTCAATTCAAGATGGCCGCCACAGTTAATCAAAGTTAGCCAACACACTAACTGTTATAACTCGGTCAGTTTCACCAACACTATAACTGAGAGTCATCACTAATACCTGAGCGTGTTCATTTATGTTTGTTTATTAAAATATTCAAGCCACAGCTCATCTCCTAATCTCATCAGAAATGTTTTCTCTTATTTCACGTGTTAGCCGTCATAACGACGCCGAAATCAGAAGTAGACGTTTCTGTGATTATAATGACAACATGTATCTCCACAGATACCATAAATACTTTTAAAATATGTTGGATTAATTGTTGATAAAATGTCCCGACAGTAAGATAGAAATGTGAGGCTCAATGTCAGGACTGATAGGAGACCTGAGATTTTGTATAAACTAAATTTATTGACATTTTATGCCCAAAGAGTCAAAAATTTAACCATTTAAAGAGTGAGTCTCACTCTGTAATATCCTGTAAACACATAATTACATTAATATTTGAGCGGAAATCAAAGTTGAACCTATTAAAAGGTCTTCCTGAGGGTAATTAAAGGTTTGAAACTCACCAGCTCAGGGTTCTGAACCAAGGCAGCTCGTAGGAATGATAAACTCTGTAACCAATGGTGATGATTTCATGGAAACACTTGATTTGCACACACATGACCTGCAGCAGCAGGAGAAAACCGGGTCAGTTTACAAACTCACAAACACTCTTCACATTCAACGGATTTGCTTGGAAACTTCGACAGGAAGAGATCTGATAAAGTGTCGCTCTCACCGCAAAGATAAGAGAGATGGGTCCCATATAGATGATGGGGAAAAAGCCTAAAATCATGGCTATGGACAGAACTCCTCGGATCCAGTAGTTCTTCCACCTGTACAGGTTGAAAAACACAAAAGATGTAAATGAAAATAACTCATATGGCTGATGCTGTGGCTTCTGTCTGCATCTTCTGGCTTCCTCCGGCTGAGAATGTTGTTTTAACTTGATTAAGCAAGTTAATACTGTTAGCGTTAGCACTGCATTAAAGTTAGCATTAGCACCACATTAAAGTTAATATTAGCGTTAGCACAGCATTAAAGTTAGCTCTGTGTTAATGTTAGCGTCAGTGAGGTATGTACACCTCATTAGTTAGAGATAGCACCACATTGGTGTTAGCTCTGTTAGTGTTAGCGTTAGCAAAGTTATCAGTGTTAGCGTTAGCTCAGCCTTAGTGTTAGCATTAGCTCAGCTTTAGCATTAGCCTAGTGTTAGCATTAGCTCAGCCTTAGTGTTAGCTCAGCCTTAGTGTTAACTTGGTGTTAGCATTAGCTCAGCCTTAGTGTTAGCTCAGCCTTAGTGTTAACTTGGTGTTAGCATTAGCTCAGCCTTAGTGTTAGCTTAGTGTTAGCATTAGCTCAGTCTTAGTGTTAGCATTAGCTCAGCTTTAGTGTTAGCCTAGTGTTAGTGTTAGCTCAGTCTTAGTGTTAGCGTTAGCTCAGCTTTAGTGTTAGCCTAGTGTTAGCATTAGCTCAGTCTTAGTGTTAGCTCAGCCTTAGAGTTAACCTAGTGTTTGCATTAGCTCAGCCTTAGTGTTAGCTTAGCGTTAGCTCAGCATTAATGTTTGCTTCGTGTTAGCATTAGCTCAGCCTTAGTGTTAGCATTAGCTCAGCCTTAGTGTTAGCTTAGTGTTAGTGTTAGCTCAGCATTAGTATTAGCTTAGTTAGTGTTAGCTTAGCCTTAGTGTTAACTTAGTGTTAGTGTTAGCTCAGCATTAGTGTTAGCTTAGTGATAGCATTAGCTCAGCCTTAGTGTTAGCATTAGCTCAGCTTTAGTGTTAGCTTAGTGTTAGCATTAGCTCAGTCTTAGTGTTAGCATTAGCTCAGTCTTAGTGTTAGCATTAGCTCAGTCTTAGTGTTAGCATTAGCTCAGCATTAGTGTTAGCTTAGTTAGTGTTAGCTTAGCCTTAGTGTTAACTCATGGTGCGTTCACACCGAACGCGATTTCAGCTTCAAAATCGCAGCCAACGCTGAAGTTTGAAGCTCGTGCACTTTGAGGTCAGACGCAGGACATCTGCGCTGCACGGCGACAGCCGCCCCGCCCCTCCCTCCTCTGTCGGGCTGTTTAATGTCGGACGAGGAAGTGGCTTTGCTTTATTTACAGACAGCCAGAACGTGTCACGTTCATCAGATAATTAATTMATAATTAATTCACCAGATAATTCAGAGAAGAGGCTCACAGCTGCTTTCAGGACTATTTTTTCAGTCTGATGAGTCGCTGCCACGCATTGCTGCGGATCAGGACACGACTGCAGCCCTCATTTTAGCTAAAGAGCAGAAGCTCCGTCTGTTTCAGGTTAGTGGACCTCATTCAGTAAACTGTCCCGTCGGGAAATATGTCGCTACGTCACACAGTGGAGTCTCTCTGATTGGTTGACGCTGCGCGTCGAGCTGCAAAAGTTCAGATTTTCTAACTTCAGCGATTTGGACGATTTGGACGATCTGAGCGTTCGACGCTCAGATCGTCCAAATCGCGCTGCTCTAATCGCGCTTGAGGCGCCGCAGAACTTCCCGACGTTGCTTGAAGCGCGTCCACCATAGACTTTGTATGTAAACCTGCTGCTCCTGATGCTGAAATCGCGTTTGGTGTGAACGCACCATTAGTGTTACTGTTAGCTCAGCATTAGTGTTAGCTTAGTGTTATCATTAGCTCAGTCTTAGTGTTAGCTCAGCATTAGTGTTAGCTTGGTATTAGCTCAGCCTTAGTGTTAGCTCCATGCCAGAATGAGTAATATAAGTTACTAATCGCAAAGGGACAAATTTTAATCGTGGCAGTTTTTCTGATAATTGCACACAAAACAATTCTGCAACTTATAAGAAGCAAAAAAGTCTAAATAAAAATCTGCAACATTGTAAAGCTAATAATTTGAATTATTTTAGGATCAAATGATATTTATTGATTTGTCAACACACTCAGAATAATAAAACCTGACCCATGGGCCTGAAGCTGTCTAGAAATATCCTAAAATTTCATCTAAAAGATCTGACTTCTGACTAAACTACTATTAAAATAAATTAAAATTCAGGCCTGAATATGCTTCATCAGCACATTAACTTTACCAGAAGTACATGTGTGGAAAAAGGATTTAATGCAACACATCCTGCAGTGTTTGTAGCTCTGAGAACAAAACAAAAACAGAACAAAAACAGCTAAAAGCTGCACGTCGGCTGCTGTGTGAATGAAGCAGAAAAACAGCAGCATCATGAAGACATGATGCTGCAGTCAGTCCATCACTGCTTCCTTCTGACCACAGGCAGTAAAAACAGGGTCTGATCTCAACTCCTGGTTGTGTTTTCTTCTCCTCTCTCGTCTGGCTCCTGTCCTCCTGCACTACGAGCCTGCAGAGATTAGCCTCCCGGTGAGCCTTTAGGCACCACGACCCGCTCGCCTCGCCCTGCTCCTCACAGCTCAAACATTGATTTATCGACACATTTTCATCAACAGATCATCTAAAACAGCAAACAAAGCCAACAAGCAGCTGACGGGAGTTTGTTTCAGTGTCTTCAGAGACCGCCTCGACTCGTTTCCTCTGAAACCAAACAAACTCTTAGAGCTTTAAAAATCACTTTCTCAGCCTCAGCGCTGCCTGACGTGTCGGACATCTTCAGTGCTGACTCCACAGACGAATGATGCTGACTGCAGCTTCCAGCTTTAACTCAACCAGAACTCTTTTTTCCCCAGGAGATCTGATTACGCCCACATTTAGTGATAACGATGATTAAAGTGTGAGACTCAAAGAAAACATCTTCATATTTAAGAAACTCCACTAATGCCCACGATTTTACCCATTTTGCCACATAACTGGCATGTTTTCTTTTGATACTGGCTCAGCCAAAATAAAACAGGAAGTGACATCATCTTTAATAAAAGAAACTCTCTGGTCTTTATTTATTGAAACAATATTATTGTTTCAATAAATGGCCCCCCCCCCCCACACTGCTGGCGCCCCTGCAACTGACTTTTTTGTTATATGTGGTTATTGCTATCTTTCTAAAAGTGAATTCCTATTTATGACAAAAAACTGATGTCACAGGCTCTTTAATATCCAGGCAGACTTTGGTTCTGATCTCTGCAACACCTGTTCACTCACTACAGGTAACACCTGCACAGGTAGCGTACCTGGGAGGCAGCCCCTCCAGAGCTTTGGTCAGGCATTCTGGAGTGTTGTCCATGTCGGCCGTGGAGGGGAGGACGTCTGGAGCGTCTAACTTGGAGTCCACGTCACATTCTTCCTCTGCGTCGCCCGGCGGGCCCGGCCTGTCCTCACCTTCAGCCCCCTGCCAGGAAACAGCACAGGCTGTGAACACACACCTGGCACAGGTAAGGGTCTGAACGTAGACCATGTGAGCAGAGTGGCTCTCATGAGAACTTGGATGTAGAGCAGCTGGACCTGAGCAGACGCTTGGTTAACCTCTTCAGCCCCGAGGGGTTTTCTTCAAGTTTTTGCTCAAAATATCATGTTGAAATGTAACCGAGTGTATCTGAACATTTATAAACTCTGTTTATAATATTGGTATCAAAATAAAACAACACTTGGGAGATTTCATCGGAAGTGTAAGTATTAAAACAGCTGCTGTGGTTTTAGAGATATTTAGGATGAAACTTTATTATTTTTTATTTTTTCTCTCCCATCTGAATACTTTTTTTAAACCATAATGAATCAGGCTAAAAACTCTTGGAAACCACAAACCCACTTGTGAACATCACCTGTGCAAAGATTCATGCTGCTAAAACGAACTGGAGCAAAGTTACAGAGGTTTTAGTAAAGAAATTATTTTGAATTTTGTCATTCTGCACAGGACAGACCATGAGGTTTCATTAATAAATGTTAAAGGGATCCATGATTAGTTGTAACATTAGACTTTATTTAATAAACATTTTAACTGTAAAATAAAGACTGTAAAAATACTGTAGGCTGTTTAGATTTTATCATTTTTAAACTAAATTTTCAAAATGTATTACACGGACGGGGCCATTTTATTTCCACACAAAGCATTCTGGGTAAATGATGACGTGGATAGGTCCTCGGTGCGAGGCTGCTAGCGAGCTATATCCACCCTGAAGGTTAATCT